TGGATAATGTTTGAGGAACAAAAATGTTGGATTTGTGTATGTTTTTTTTTTTTGAGGTTTTTGGGGGTTGGTTGATGTAGGAATGGGATACAACAAAGGCTAAATTCATGGCAAGATGGTGTTTCTGGAACAAACTGTCCTATTTTGCCTGGTACAAACTGGACTTATGTGTTTCAGACTAAGGATCAAATTGGTAGCTTCTTCTACTTTCCATCTATCAACTTTCAGAAGGCGGCTGGAGGATTTGGACCGATTCGTGTCAATAATCGGAATGTGATTGCTGTTCCGTTTGCAAAACCGGATGATGAGTTTGATCTTCTCGTTGGTGATTGGTCTTTTGATAACTATAAGGTAACTGTAATAGTTCAAGCTCACCACTAGTAGATGTTGTCCTCGTTGGAGTTTTCCTTTCGGGCTTTCCCTCAAGGTTTTAAAACATGTCTGTTAGGGAGAAGTTTCTACACCCTTATAAAGAATGTTTCGTTCCCCTCTCCAATCGATGTGGGATCTCACAATTCATCCCCCTTTGGGGGCTAGTGTCCTCTTGGCACTCGTTCTCCTCTCCTTTCGACGTGGGATCTTACAATCCACCCCCCTTTGAGACCCAGCATCCTCATTGGCACACCGCCCGGTGTCCACCCTCCTTTGAGGCTCAGTGTCCTCGCTAACACACCGTTCAGTGCCTAGCTCTGATACCATTTGTAACAACTCAAGCCCACCACTAACAGATATTGTCTTTTTTGGGTTTTTCCTTCCGGCGTCTGCTAGAGAGAAGTTTTCACACCCTTATAAAGAATATTTTGTTTCCCTCTCCGATCGATGTGGGATCTCACAATCCACTCCCCTTTAGGGCCCAGCGTCCTCGTTGGTACTCGTTCTCCTCTCCCATCGACGTGGGATCTCACAATCCACTCCCCTTTGGGACCCAGCATCCTCGCTGGCACACCGCTCGGTGCCCACCCCCATTTGAGGCTTAGTGTCCTTGTTGACACACTGTCCGGTGTCCACCCCCCTTCAAGGCTCAGGTCCTTGCAGACACACCGTCCGATGTCTGGCTCTGATACCATTTGTAACAGCCCATGTCCACCACGGGCAGATATTGTCCTCTTTGAGCTTTCTCTTCAAGACTTCCTTCAAGATTTTGAAACGTGTCTGCTAGGAAGAGATTTCCACACCCTTATAAAGAATGTTTCGTTCCCCTCTCCAAACGATATGAGATCTCACAGTAACTGTACTATTGGTCTTATTCTTAAAGCACAATGGGAGTTCTGTGCTGTTTTTGGTTTTTCCTCTGGATTTCTCAAGCTTAATGCATTTGTTTCTGCACGTTATTCAAATAGGTAACCCGATCCTTAATGACCGATCCAACAATCGCATTCGATAGCATCCCAAACATCATGTTGATGAATGGGAAGCCACCTTTTGGCAACCCACAAGGAAAAGCCTTTGAATCATTTACTGTCACTCAAGGTAACCATGCTGTTGCTGTTGCTATGCAAGTGCATCTTAAAGTTTCTTGAACTCGAATGATATGGCTTGCAGGGAACGTTTACCGGTTCAGGATATCGAACGTGGGGACGACTCTTAGTTTCAACTTCAGGATTCAGAACCATAGAATGTTATTGGTTGAGACAGAAGGATCTTACACCAATCAGACCATATTAGATTCACTTGATGTTCATGTGGGGCAGTCCTATTCTGTTCTTGTCACTGCAAATCAGGTGGATGCTGATTATTTCATTGTAGCATCACCTAAGTTGCTGAATGCCACAGAATTTAGCAGCCTCGTCGGCGTTGGAGTGCTACACTATTCGAATTCCGTTGCACAACCCGTTGGCCCTCTACCGACTGGCCCCGATCCATTTGATATCAACTTCTCAATAGATCAAGCAAAATCCATTAGGTAAATATGTCAAGCAACCAAAGATGAACAAGTGCTCATAATTAGTATCTGATTCTCCATATGTTCTTGCACAGATGGAACATGACCACAGGAGCTGCAAGGCCAAATCCACAAGGAACCTTCAATGTAACAAATGTGACCATATCACAAACGTTCATCCTTCAAAACTCAGAGGGTGTAATTAAGGGATCGCCGCACGTTGTTGTTAACAACGTGTCGTATCTCACAATCGATACCCCTTTGAAGCTCGCCGATCAATTAGTCAATGGTTCCGGGGTATACCAACTTGATGCATTTCCTGTTCAATCTGTTAATCTTAATGCTTCTTTTGGAGTTTCTGTTGTCACTGGAAACCACAAGGGTTGGATAGAACTTGTCTTTAAAAACAACTTGGAGTTCATAGATTCTTGGCACCTAGACGGTTTCGGGTTCTACGTTGTAGGGTAAGTATCACAGAAAGTGTTCTGAGCTTAACCATCTGAAGATGGTTCTCTTTATAAAACTGTTCTGATTCGTGTATGACTTCCAGGTTCGGAGATGGAGATTGGACGGCTGCATTGCGTACGACATACAACCTATTCGATCCGGTCGTGAGATCAACGGTACAGGTCTACCCCGGAGGTTGGACTGCAGTTTATGCTTTCCTAGACAACCCAGGGATGTGGAATTTAAGGTCACAGCTCTTGAAAAACTGGTTTCTTGGTCAAGAACTTTACATAAGAGTTCATGACAATGATCCTAACCCAGCTAAGGAGCGCCCTCCCCCGGAAAACCTCCTTTTTTGCGGTTTGTACAGCTTCCACTGCATATTCTTTTTGTTTCTGTTCCTAACATAGCATGTTCTTGTTTGTTGCTTAATGTCACAATCCTAGGAAACACAATGTTTGGTTCATAGGAACAGACATCCTAGGAGGTTGTCCTCACTTGAACCATAAAACTGATCAATTTGGGATGTTTTGTTTGTTAACAGGGATTTTTAATCAATCTTCTTCCTTGCTGGAGCACCGCCTCCGACCGTGATTGTGCGTCAGCGATTACGAAGACTCGATAAAGCTAAGCTATTACTGTTCGTTTGAATACTGTCTGATAAAACCTATGAGACCTGCAACAGGGGGAAATTCTGTCTGTGATATCTATACTCACAAACTGATTCATTAATATTATATTGGAAGCTTCTTATATCTTCAAGGCCTTCCATTTGTTCAAGTTAAACTTAAGAATGCATCAAATAAGAAGCAAGTTAAGAACAAAGTTGAAAAAGAACAGGATTCAGTAAACTTGAACCTAAAGTTAGCCTTAATCAGGTTGTTGGGTATGAACAAAATTATGACAAAACAAGGAAAACCCAATAACAATCTCATGATTTTGACTTGTAACGGCCTAAGCCCACCGCCAGCAGATATTGTCCTCTTTGAGTTTTTTCTTTCGGGCTTCCCCTTAAGGTTTTTAAAACGCGTCTGCTAGGGAGAGGTTTCCACACCCTTTTAAATAATGATTCGTTCTCCTCCCCAACCGATGTGGGATCTCACAATCCACCCCCCTTCGGGGCCCAGCGTCCTTGCTAGCACACTGCCTCGTGTCCACCTCTCTTCAGGGTTCAGCCTCCTCGCTGTCACATTGCCCGATGTCTAGCTTTGATACCATTTGTAACGGCCCAAGCCCACCGCAAGCACATATTGTTCTCTTTGGACTTTCTCTTTTGGGCTTCTTCTCAAGGTTTTTAAAACGCGTCTGCTAGGGATAGGTTTCCACACCCTTATAAAAAATGTTTTGTTCTCCCTTCCCAACCGATGTGGGATCTCACATGAAAACTTAAAACCTCCAAACTAGCCCAGTTCAATGCATTAACCTTTAGCCTTGGAAGCTATAGTTTGTGATTTAGGCTATAAGATTTAACTCAACTCCTCAAATTAGCAAACAAATCCTCCGCTTGTCGTGGCCAACCTCTCGACTTCTACAAGTTCGTGCTTGATGTTGACATGTAACGGCTCAAGCCCACCGTTAGCAGATATTGTTCTCTTTGGACTTTCCCTCAAGGTTTCTTAAAACGTGTATACTAGGGAGAAGTTTTCACACCCTTATAAAGAATGTTTCATTCTCCTCTCCAATCGATGTGGGATCTCACACGACATGATTCTTATCTTACTTGAGAAGGTTAGGTGGATAAAGACGGGTGGGTAAAGACATTAAGGCAAGAAGATTAGTTAAGACAACTGATCGTATAAAGAAAGAGTTGTAAGGAACAAGTTGAATGACATTAGATGAGCTGATTAGAAGGTGATGGTTTAAGACATCAGAAGGTTTCAGAAGCCACTGGACCAATTTAAAATGTGTTTGGTCGTAAAGTATAAAAACCAATACTCCACTTCTTGCTTAGGTTTGTTTGAGTGGGGTAGTAACTAACAGAAGAGTGGACCAAGAGCAAAGAAAAGAACAAAACTTGGCTAATGGGTAGCATTATTTTAAATGTTTTTTGATGGTTTGGAGAGAAAAAAAGACAAAAGGTGGATTCATGTCTGCCTTTCCATACTTGTTGGTCTATTCTTGTTAGATCCCACGTCAGTTGGAGAGGGGAACGAAACATTCTTTATAAGGGTGTGGAAACCTCTCCCGAGCAGACACGTTTTAAAAACCTTGCAGGGAAACCCAAAAGGGAAAGCTCAAAGAGGACAATATCTATTAGCGGTGAGCTTGAGCCGTTACATGTCGACATCAGCTTAAACCTTATAGCCTAAATCACAAACTACAGCTTCTGAGACCCCACATCAGTTGGAGAGGGAAATGAAACATTCTTTATAAGGGTGTGAAAACCTCTCTCTATCAGACACGTTTTAAAAACCTTGAAGGGAAACCTGAAAGAAAAAACCCAAAGATTACAATATCTGCTAGCGGTGGACTTGAGTTGTTACAATTCTTGTCACCTCTCCGAGAGAGAGATGGTTTCACGGTGGTGGTGACGGGGCTTAGCCAAACATCCATCTCTCTCTCCCTAAGTGATATCACATTTACTTCAACTAAAAGAAGAGCAAAACAAAGATGCTCATCATTCATTCAGTTCTCATGAACAAAAAGCTTAAGAGGCAATCCTAACAAAGTGTTTCAGAAAAGAATTTCAGTAATTCCATTAGAAAAGTTTCTCAAAGTTGTAAAGAAAACAGGAAAATAAGATATGAAAGAATTTGATGACATTGAAACGTAAAGTTTCCAAACAAAAGGGAGCAGAAAACGAAGACGATAACTTCACATAATCGCGTCTAGTCGATTATCAGTAACAATGGTGGAAAAAGTTCAGAATTCTTATCCATCCTTAGTAATGACAGTCAACCAAAGTCCTGGAGGGAAAAACAAGTGGCTGCTGCTGCTGCTGTTGTTGTTTTTGTTGTTGTTGTTGCTTATACTGTTGTTGTTGTTGTTGTGTCTGATGTTGTGTCTGCTGTTGTGTCTGATGTTGTGTTTGCTGTTGCTGGTATTGGTTTGACTTTATCATAAACTTGGATTCTCTATGATGATCATGTTCTTGAGGGGCAGGAAGATTGAGGTCCAAATCCAAAGAAACCATATTTCTTTGTCGTTTTGGTTGTCTTTGATCCTCACCTTCCATGGCCATTGGAGTCAGAGACAACGCTGTGTTCATCGCGACTGGCATGGCACGGTGGCGTCTCATATGACCACCCAAGGCCTGCCCAGAAGTAAATTCAGCTCCACAAATAGCACACTCATGAACTTTACCCTTACCATTGCTACACAAGCTTCCTTTCTGATTCAATTGCAGAGAAATTGAATGTGTCATATTGTTCTTAAATTGTATCTCTTCATCATCTGAACACAACAAGACCTTCTTTTCAGCTTCAATAGCCTTAGACTTCTTATGGCTAGCTCTATGTCCTCCCAAAGCTTGAAATGAAGGGAATGTCCTATAACATGTCTTGCACTCATACCCATAGCATCCAATCCCCACACCCTTTTCAGCTCCGACCGTACTCCGGTTGTTGTCGACATGTTTCGGTGTCTGGGGTCTCCCTTGAGCAAGGAGAATGAGACAATTAGCCATATCTTCCTCTTCATCTGTCGTGATAGACGGCTGCAATTCAGCCGATGACGACGAAGGAGAAAAACTAACATTATGAACCGGAACCGCAACATAATCATTGTTTTCTGCTACAAAATCATTGTTTTCTGCTACAACATTAGAATCATGATCATGATCATGATCAAGAACAACAAATCCTGCTTCCCCATTTGAAGAAATGGTAAAAGGGGTAGGAGAATGAAGCCTTGGGCGCTTTGTTCTCTTACCTTTGGCTATCAAAGCCTGTTCTTTGGACCCCATAACTCCATCTTCATGATCAACCTCCATTCTTCCTTCCTTCCTTCCTTCCTTCTTCAGAAAATTTTCGAAAAAGAAGACGAACTCGAGAAGAAAGGAAAGGGAAGGAAGCAACAGAAGAACAGAGTGTATATATATATATACACACAATATATATATATATATAGACAAAGAAAGAAAGGATTGGATCTCAATGAAACAGTGAAGTATGAATGTTTATGAAGGCTAAGAGGCTTTGCTATACATATAGATATATATATATATATATACATATAGGGAAGAGTTTAACAGAAAGAGGGCAAATTTAGGGAGGCAGAGTAGCAGGAGATTGATGGAGGAAGGAAGGGGAGGTTTGTTTGTTAGTTTTGTTTAAGAACAAAGGGGAAGGACAAATCTAAGAGGAGGGTTGAAAGGAAGGGGCCATGGAAATTTGAGGGCATGTCTAAATTAAGGTAATTTGGAAGCTCAGTAGCTTGTTGGGGAAAAGCAAAGCTAAATTCATGGCTAAGAAAGAATCGGCTTAAATGGTGGATTTTGAGGAGAGAGAGAGAGAGAAACAGAGAGACAGGGAGACAGAGAGAGAAGGAGAGATTTGGAGTCCTAAAACAATGGAGTTTTTTCATTGTTTGTTCTGTTCTTTTCTGTTCTTGTCAGCTTATTATGTGTTACCCACGCCTTGTTCCACAAAACACTACACCACCCGATCAATCTTCTTTTCTTTCCTTTGGATTTAGAGAGGGAAATGAATCATTTTTTTCTAAGAAGGTAGAAATCTCGTAGATGCCTTTTAAAATTGTAAGGCCGATGACTCTGTATAACGGACTAAAGCGAACAATATCTACCAGTGGTGACTTCTTGTTATGTTTATAACGATGTGTAACGGACTAAAGCGGACAATATCTACTAATGGTGGTTTATTAGGTTTATTTTTAATAATTTTAATAAGATCTATTTTATTTATTCAAAAATAAATTAATAAAAATATTTATAAATTTTGTATTATCGAGAAGTTTCAAAAATTTAAAATTTTAAAAAATATAGCTTTGGATAGAAAACGTTAATACTTTATTTTGAATAATACTCTTAAATTGTTAATTTTTTTTTTCAAAAATACCCAAAATGTTTGGGTTATTTTAAAATTTGTATTTAATGAATATATATGTGTATATATATATATATATATATATATATATATATATATATATTTTGTAACCGTTCAAACCCTCCGCCAGTAAATATTGTTCGCTTTGACCAATTACGTATAACTCTCAGTTTTAAGACGGATTTGTTAGAGAGATTTTTTTACTCATAAGGAATGTTCGTTTCCCTCTCCAACTAATGTAGGGCCTTACAATGGACCCTTAATGGATGTAGATTGTGAGATCCTACATCTGTTGGAGAGGGGAACAAACCATACCTTGTAAGAGTGTGGAAACCTCTCCCTAGTAGACACATTTTAAAACTGTGAGATGAACGGTGATACGTAACAAGTTGAAGTAAATAATATCTGCTAGTAGTGGGTTTTGGTCGTTACAATAACCCTGACATTATAAAATTTCCGACACTAAATATCGTAATTATTAGTTCAACCGAGAAAACAGAATTCAAATATCCAGCCTTTTAGTCGAGAATGTATGTATTTTAACATGTCGAGCGCCCTATACTCAAGTTGGCGAGCTAAGAACGAACATTTTCAAAGCTCGGGTACGAAAACGAAATAACTTTGATGAACGAAACCCGAGAATATAGTATTGTTTAGAGGGAGAGAAGAGGAGGGAGGAAGCAAAAGGGCATTACTTTTGGTGAAGGATTGTGAATGAGATGATTGGAGTGCAAGGCTGTACCCACGGAATCTGCGGTGCACCCACCACTTCCTTCTTCTTCTTCTTCTTATTCCTCTTATTAAATATTTTGAAACCTTCCATGGCCACTCGTTTTTAAAGCTACCATTTTTGCTTTGCCCACAATAACAACTGTGTTTTCACATGCCATTTCCCTTAAATTGGGAGTTTCATAATGTTTTTTTTTTTTTTTCTTTCTTTTTTCATAAAGTTACTATTTTTATCGTTTGGTCGGGTTCAGACATTTTTAGACCAAATTCAAGTGTTCAGGTCCGAATTTTTTCGAACTGAAACAATGTTTGTTAATTTTTTTGGATTGAGTTGGGTGAGATTGGTCGGGTTATTTATTCAAGTTTTTGTTTTTAATAAAAGCAAAATATTAGTTCATAAAACATTTATTTATACGAGTATAATTGTGTCGTAAGAAAGAAAAAATAATAATAATAATGAATTCGAGTTGGTTCGATTCAACCCAGTTTAGTTTTAGAGAAACTCATAAACCAATTCAATCTATATAAAAAAAAAATTCATTTATTTGAATTCAACCCAATTATCTTTATTCAAATGTTCAGTTAATCAAGTTTTTTAGGTTACCGTTGATAGAGCCGAGCACTGAAAATCTTCGTGTTACTGGTTCAAATTTGCTATGAAAATAAATAAAGATAATGTGTCAGAAATGGCCGGTATAGATCAGTTGTAAAATAGAGGACTGGAAATCTTCGTGTTACCGGTTCAAATCTGCTATGAAAATAAATAAAGATAATGTGTCAGAAATGGCCGATATAGCTTAGTTGGTAAAGCAGAGGACTGAAAATCTTCGTCTTATCAATTCAAATCTGCTATGTATATTATACTTCAAAATTTGAGACTAAATTTGTAATTTAAATTTAGTGTTACAATTCAAGAAAAGAAAGTTATTGATGTTTTACCCGTACTAGATTAACCCAATATGAACATAACTCAACTGACATAAAATATATTTTCTCGATCATATAATATGGTTAACTTAAACACTAAAATATTCTTCTTAGAACTAATAATAATTTAAATCCAAAAATAATAATAATTAAGAATTGAGGGTAAATTTAATGATTTCATATAAAGAAATGAATTAAATAGTTACCTTAAGAGAAGGTCTTGATTGGAGAAATATAAAATAGAACCAAATCAAGATGTGGATAAGTGAGTATCTTTAGGCAATTACTGAATTATCCTCATAATTATTTTGCCTTTATTTAAATTAAATATATTTGTGAACAAGTTTCATAGGTCATTGCCAAAAACACAAGCATGCTTCATTATTCTATTATTTACTCTTTTTTTTTTTAATTAATTTTCTCCGTAACGAATGCTTGTATGTATCTTCGTTAAGCTCATGATTTTAAAACGCGTCTACTTTATAACCCTACTTCGACCAGTGTCTCACACTGTCTAATGACTGGCTCTGACTGACTAGTAAACAGAGTGTGAAAACCTCTGCTTAGTATTGCATTTTAAAACCATGAGACTGATGACGATACATAACGGGGTAAAGCAGACAATTTCTGTTAGTAGTGGGCTTGAACGGTTACAAAAATGTATTAGAGTCAAGACATTGGGCTAGTCTTAAGGATGTGGAAATCTCTCTCTAATAGATCTGTTTTAAAACTGTAAGGCGGCTGAGAGTGACTTTAAGGAGAGGGATGACTAAAAGAACGGGTTTTAAGAGTGGTGGGGAGGGCTACCTACTTAGGTTTGTTACATGAGATGACGATGGAATTGATGAAGAAGCTATTTGATTAAGAAATATTTGGAATATCTACCCAAAACGAAAGCGACCCATACTTTATATAATTGTGCCAAAGTTTCGTGGCATTTCAAAATTCCTTAAAGTTGACTTAATACTCATCAACTAATACTCGTTTAAAGAAAAGACTAATTCTTAGTTCAATTGGTAAAAATTATAGCAAAATTGTATTTCTACTAATTAACGGTGACACCCGAGTAAAAGAGCAGTACATGAATAAATCAAGATCATATTTGAATGAAAATGATCCAGAGGAAATAAAGTCTATGGTTCAAAAAATATTAAAAGAACTGATAATTATTACTCATACCAACAAGGTGTACCTTCTTTTCTAGTAGGAATCTCAAAAGTAAGTAACCATTCTTTGTTGAATGTCCTAGGAATACCAGTCTTGTTTTGTGGAGATAGTCTTATTCTCAGAAGTAGTTCAAGATAAGTAATAACGTGGCAGTGTTGTTGCAGTGGAGAATTTACGTGTCGAACTCAGATTTCAAATTATGGGTATGGAGTATTATACCGATGCTAATTAGTCGTTAAAAAAGACATTATAAATTGAAGACAGAAATGACCCGTCCAATCATTAGACATATTAAAGAAAAAAAAGATTAGCTTACATGGCATGACTTGATTGGTTTAGAGAGCATGATGCATGCATAATAGAAAGTCAATGGCTCTACAAGAGTTTGGTACAAGTGAAGAATCATATGGTATGTTAAAATATATTGGTTGTGTGCGGCACGTTAAAGGAGAAACTTACAAAAAGGCAAATGATTTGCAAAGCCATCAATCCAACGGTTGAAATGAAGCCACTTGTCATCCTAATTTCAATTGTTTATAAAAGAAAAATAGGAAAGATTTGAAGTGAAGCGTGGGAATATTAATTAGAGCTAGCTTGGAAGCAAGTAATGAACAACTATGTGTGCAAGTGACTATAACCAACTTTCTCCCTTTTTTTTTAATGCTACATGAAAGAATTTGTGAGGGGAGAATCCATCTCAATCTCTCTCTAAAAGTCTGCTTTTTTTTTTTTTTTTTTAATCATTTTTTGAATGATGAGAGGAATTTCCCATGATGAGAGGGACGGCCTCAATCCAATGACACTAGAGTGGCATTTCACCCCTAACCACAACTCATCCGCTAATTCTTCAACATCAATCGGTTTGAACCTCCACTTAGTTTCACCCGAGCTTCATCTTGGTCATGCATAGATCACTAAGTCCGGGTCCATAAGCAGTGACAATTGCTCCATGAAGACTCACTTTCGCTACAACTCCAATGGGTTCTCTTAACCAAAGTCCCGGTCTCTTCCCAAATTTTATGTTTAATAACTATTTCACATTTATGAAATTTCTTATTTTGTTATCTTCCTTTTACTCAGGTTCTCAAAATCTAAACCAAATTTTGAAAACTAAACGCTCTAATTTGAATTTAGCTAAAAACTTATGGAATTGAAAGTATATACCCATTATAGACGTTTGGAGGTTGAAAACTAAACGCTCTAATTTGAATTTAGCTAAAAACTTATGGAATTGAAAGTATATACCCATTATAGACGTTTGGAGGTTCAAAAACCTCCTGGATGTTTAAAAACTTTAATAGACATGGAATTGAAAGTATATACCTATTATAGACGTTTGGAGGTTCAAAAACCACCTGGATGCAAGCTTTTATTGGTTCAACAACATTTAAGAGTAAAAAAGATACGAACTTTTGACCTCTTAATAGAGTGTGCCTACCAAAATACCGCTAGGTTAAGGTGTCTTTAAACTATTCGGTACAAAGAACCTAAAATCATTTAAAACGATAGTTGTTTTCTCAATCTCTGTAGTAATGAATCTCCAACCTCTCTTACTCGAGGCATCCAAACATTTCCTTTCACAGAACATCTTTGATTTTTCTTCTTCTGCCATGAAACGAAATTGAGTGCACGTTCCCTCTCTATGGCTTTTTCTTTTAACTTTAACCCCAAGGAAGACGGAAGAATAATGGTCATACACTTATCAATACCAAAACTCAACTCAACATATTACCTCAGAAGTGGAATTTTCTCCTTAGAAAAGCACTAAGAAAGTGAGTATGTATATTATCCAAATAAAAGAAAGAGATCATAAAGCCCTTCAACAAAAGCCTCCACTTTCAGTTCCACTGTCCATCCACATAGAAGTAGGGCCCATTTGAAAATAAAATCGAAGGTTCAGTCCCTATCATTGACATTATTGGAGTAATAATAAAAGAGAAGGGTATGAAGGATTGATTATTCATGCCCATTTTCCCCCTTGGGGAGGTGGGTGTGAGTAGAAGGGTGGCAAAAAGAAATGGCAGTCACAACATCACCTGATGGAGAAAGCTAGATTAAGTCCAAGATATTTTGTATTGGGAGTATTGACCAACGATAATAGTCCTTCTCAACTTGGATTTTTCATTGGAGAAGAGAAATCAAAAGCACTACCTCATATTATAGATTATACTAAACACCAAATAGCAAAGGACTGTGGAGAGAAAAGAATCAAATTAATAAATTTTATGATGCGACATAACATTAGAGTAAGAGGACTTGTATGCCAACTCTTATTGTGATTGTCTTTTTATAGTATTGGCAGGACACTTATTGAGTTTCTTGTGACATATATATTAAAAAAGTATCTATGAACTTAGACTTTTTGATTTAACATATAGTGCTATGATGAATATGAGGAATACACCAAAAATGGTGTAATTCTCACATTTTGAAATGGAATAAGAATAAGGGAGTACCATTCCGGAGGATGAGGCTACTCATGCTTCCGTAGCTCCACAAATACTGATGTGGTTCTTGAGGGCACCATGAAGCATCCTGTGGATGGCTCGTAAGCTGAATTTTTAACCATTGGATCGGTTGACATCAACTGCCATATTTAAAACGTTGACATAGCACAAATAATAAAGATAAGAGCTATAGTTAGCAAAAGTTCTCTTTTGGAGCGAAGCAGTGTTGGATCTCAAGAGAGTATTTATTTACCTGAATGGGATGTAATTGGAGAGTTCTTGCGCGCAATGCAGGACAAGGAAATGAAATCTCAGATGGGCGTGCATTAACCACAACAACAATGTAGGAGTAACTGCAGAAAACATGAGATAACAATATTATTATGAGTAAAATCATGGATTTAGAGAAAGCTATTCTACTCACATGGGATCCAGCTGAGTTAACCCAGGAATGCCTTCCTGCCCATCTTCAATGCTCATCACTATGACTCCAGGTATAAGCGACGTGCCTGTATTGTGGAAACGGACCCGTTTCTACACAAGAAAAGGCAAAGGCACTTCACATCACAAGCACCAGAAAAGTAAATTCCATTCCAATCCAAACCAGACATGTGTAGCAATTCTAGGGAAACCGAGCTAATGATGTCATACATCTAAGCCTTTAAACAAGCAGGCTAACTGATATCTGTTTGAATAGCTGGTGCTACGTTATGTCCAGTTTAACTGGTTCAACCATAACATTTCAATTTTGCATGTCGAAAAGTAGAGATTGGAATAAAGCAGTGTAAATTGTGGACCAGCCTGAAACAAAGTAATGATGCTTTGAGCCCTGTATTATGTTGCTCTTGTACAAGAAAAAGACCGTTTTATTGAATATGGATCTCAAGTCCCCAAGATTAATCAGCTGAATTAAAAATTTACATTATATTTCATCTGACAATTATTCTTAAACATGCATTCTTACCTGGATAGCATTAGCTGTCTTCAAACGAAAAAGTGGTGAAGAGTATCTGATTTGTAACAGATTTGTAAAATTTTCCACAGCAGCAAGAATGTGACTTTTACTAGGTTTGAAGGAGGGATCGGCCAGTCTTGGTTTGATTCTGAAAATGGATGACATTATTAACAAAGCTTTCCAGTAAACCTCCCACAAATTTTTTAAGAATAGGAATAAGTTCCATCTAGTCCAGATTCCAGAAGGGGAAGGAAGACTTGCAGAAGGAATGCTACTCAAAATCTAGCAAATTTCTTAAAACTTACAGAGGCCAATTGTATTCATTCTTCTCTTTTGGAGGAAGGCCAACGCCCCAATTATTTGTCATGTAAGTGAAGTCGAGTCTGATTTTGAGAAAAGTAAAAATCAATTCAAGGTAAACAAAGACAAACCATAACTGGCAGTATACCATTTAAGTTAGAGAAAATGAGATTTGATACCCAATGTGTAATATATCATATGTTCCAAATTATGTACTGCATAAAATTTGCAGAAAACTAGAACAATTTTTTTTTTTTAAAAGACTGTAGTCGGTGCCCTCAACATCTAAATACTTACGAAATGTTAATAAATAATTGAATGCAAAAAAAAAGGAAAAAGAACAGGACCTGTTGAACCAATCACCAGAGTTGTATGAATCACGATCCATTGATTTTGAGCGTAGTAATTCATCACCACAGTGGAAAAATGGTATTCCCTTAAAGAGGAAGAGAGTGATTCAGTGACAAGAATTACAAAACTACGAATCATAATTAACTAATTCAGTCAGTTACTCGATAGTGTATAATTATGTCAATGCACATAAAATTTATCAAACGATAAATAGAAAACAAGGTTTTCATTGTTCAGATCTAGATGTCACAGTCCACACAGTTATAAAGAACTCCAAGAACATATCTGGCATCCACGTCCCAAATCACCAGCGACTTGGTTAAAGTTATGAATATTGTATGAGTTCCTTGGTTCTGATCTACCTACCTTCCCGTTTCAATTTCCTTATCTAGTTTAATCTTTTGGTTCTATAAAGAACAAGACCACGTTTAGTGTCATCTGCAGACTCATCTCGGTAAGGGCAGGACATTGACTAGGGATGTTAAATGTTCAGAAGAATAGGATTCCTGTAGCTATATATAGCCCATATCTGAATAACCTCAGCTTCCGGAATTGCTGGTAATTTATTGAGGCACATGAACATGGTTTTGTGTGAAATAAGTTTCTTCTGATTTGCACATGTAATGCCTTGAATTTTCATGATTAATTAAAATTAAATACCTGCGATAGTGCAATAATACTGGTTGCCAGATGATTCATCCTGCACCTGTCATTCACGGTAATGTTTCTCGGAGTCTACAAGAAAAAGACTATAATCAGACGTCAACTCTTAAAGAAATCAGTATGATTCACAAAAGTACATTCACAATACCTTCAAACTCACAACGTCAAACAGGGTTTCATTATCATGAGCGGAAACATAGTTCACCTGGGAATCAATCGAGAATGTCAAATTCATGGCTGTGCATATCAGAACTTAACTATTATTTTAATATCCGAGGTAATGTGAGCCTAGATAAATGATAACGGCGGTTCCCAAAATGACGGTGCATCTTACAGTTTCTGTGGGGCAAGAAGCATACGCCACTGAAGATCCATCATAAGTCCGTACTTCTGATCCTTTCACCTGGAAAAAGATATGATATTTCTAAAATTCTTCATGAAAAAATGAAATGCAAATCTTGTTGGAAAAGACTAATGATACGCAGGTGCAGAAAAATGAACCAGTTCCATTTGTATTCGTTAAGACAAGTATACTAAAATATTTTACATCATGTAAATCAGAATGCAGGAATAACGATTGATTTAACAACATATCCTTTTCATGGAAATGACCCCCAGCCCCCATAAGGAAGTATACGTCTATATTATTTAAAAACTATATTTTTTGTGTAAAAGAAAAAGAACTTGTTTTAATTGAAAAAGGATAGTAGACAAACGGTATATTATCATAGATGTGGAAAATCAATAACTATGTCCTTTCACAACTTTTTACCGTAAAGTTTTTCATTCAAAACGATGAAAACACAGGCAAATGAACTAGATAAAGTCAGTGAAATCAATCGTATCTTTGCATGCATACACACACACACAAACATGTTAGAAAACAAATACCAAATCCCTCTTAAAATGTTCCTAATGAGAAATTGCTTGCTTCAAGGAAAATACCTCCTTTCCTTCAAAATTGGCTAGAACGTAGTCCTTCAAATTGGCAGCCATGGCAACCTAAAATTTATTGTAAGTAGTTAAAATACATTGGATCGGAACCCGAGGGAAGTAATAATATACTGGAGTAGCTATATTGCTAAACATAAATCTGACTATATTGATGGCTTTGTACAATGCAAATGTTGAAATAATCAATATTCTCAATTCAAAACCAGATTTCTCTTTTCAAATTTTTCCTAGCATTTTTCCAATTCTTTCTTTATATTAATGACTTGTAAAATGCAGTCTTTCTAGAATAAGCCAGAGTTCTTTTATGTTCTTTCAGCCCAAAAAATGAGAGTTTTACCAAAATTTTGCTGAGTTAGGATGTCCTAAAATAAGTAGCTATAGACGTTTGAATTGCTGAAAAAATAGAATAAGGCGAGTCCAGTGTGAATTTTTCTGGGTCTGCAACGTCAAATCATGTCATCCACCCTCTATTCCTTCTCCCTCCATTTCTCCTTTTTTGTTGAGTCCTTGTCCTCACAAAAAAACTTTCTCCCACCTCGTTCAAAGGTCCTCTTCTTTCTCTACTTCTCTTAGACGACTCACGACTGCTTCAGCCTGTTCAAATTTTCTACTTCTCTCTCCCCCCGTTCATCCCTCCAAGTTTACAATTTCTCCTCCTTCTTCCAACTATTTGTTAATGGCAAGGTTCATGAGCCTATTATCCCTAACCCATCTCAACTCCAACCAACGTTTTTCATGTTTCAACTCAAGTAAGTTAGTGCTTGATAGTTGATTCTCACTTCCTTATATATTGTAAGAAAGGTGAATTACTCTTCTTTTATCTATATGTAAATTCAACCAGTATTGGCTACATAAACATAGTTCATCTCCAATTAATCAAGATAGTACATGCCTCATGTTCAAGTTATTATGGTTACCTACCTAGAATCTCATATCCTATGAGTTCTCTTGGCAACCAAATGGTTGTCCCGTGAGAATAGTCAATATGCGTGCAAACAGGCTTGGACATTCACTATATTAAAAAAATTATAATAATTGCAATTATAAAAAATTTCCTACAACACATGGGCTACTAACAGAACATACGAAGACTGATTCTAAGAGTGGGCCACTTCAACTCACACAGAGGTGACTAACCTGAATATGATCCTTTGACACAGCAAGCGTGAATTCCGCATCTTTGTCTGTACCATGATCATGATCATTAGGCTGCAAAATAAGAAAAATTGAATACATTGGACACAAGGAAGAAAACTCTGTAATTAAATGAAGTACAAATGTTAGTGATACAGCCAGAGAAAAATACAAAACGCTTTTAATTCAACATACAAATTATTTAACAAACAAATTTATAAACAAAAAAATATAGAAAAAAATTACATTCAAATGAGGAAAGCATTACGTGACATAATATTTCATCAACAAACTTCTCTTTCTTAATTAGACATAGTATAAGAGAAAGAGGTCTTTTGTTTGAACCCCTGAAAAATCATTTCCTTCCCAATTAATATTGATTTCCACTTGTTGGAGCCTTCTACAAATTGTCAAGCCCATAAGTGAGGGAAAGTGTTATAGTGTTGATATAGTTAAATCTACCATGATCCATCAGCTTAAGTTTTTGGTTTGATTAGGGATTTAACATGGTCTCAAAGCCAGAGTCCTAAGAATATTGGGGTATTTTGGAATTGATAAAAGTTGCCAGCAATGTGCTTTCGGATTGGTTTTCAGCGTTGTGTTTGCTTATGGGGAGTGTTTGAAACTTCTATTTTTCTAGGGTGTGGTTGGTGTTTAGAAGTTGCTGGCCGCATTTTTTGGTTTAACCAATTTCTTCTCTTTCAAGTATAAAGATTGGATGAACGGAGACAATGAAGGCTTGAACATTAACCAATCTCTTCTCTCTAAAGAATAAGGCTAGCCAAAAGAGTTAGGGAGGTGGGAAGTTCTAGATACTATCTGCTCTCGTAGTTTATCCTAAATTCAACGGAAGAAAAACCTACAATTCAATAAAAATTCGATGAATAGACACTTCGCTTTTTCTTAAATAATGATCTGAACAGGAAATTTTTCGTTCCAAGTAAATCCCACTTCTCTAGACCAGAGTGAAAACCGTGTCTTACACCTAAAACCTGCTAAATCAATAGTAACCGGAGCAATTTTCCTCCATTGTGATATTTGATTGAACACGATGACAAACTGTCAAGATCAGATTATAGGACGCCCGGATCAAAGAAATTCCAAAATACCTCGAGCAATAGACCAGTCACAAATCCTTGCTGAAGAGGATGACCAAATGGAGATCCACCAAGCATTGCATCTCGAACTCGATCATTAAAACTGAAAAAACACGATAAATTTAAAATTTCCCAATATTACTTTTCCATAAGCAAACACAACACTGAAAACCAATCCGAAAGGGAAATCACTCGTGCATAAAAGAAACATGTGCCATAAGCAAACACAACGCTTATAGGGAAATCACAACGTGTTTATATTCGAACTCGTGCATAAAAGAAACACGTGCCAAGCTAATAGGGAAATTACGTTTTCTAACTAGCGAACAGTCGTATTTATAAATTAAGACCAAATAACGCAGACATCAAAATGAGGTGTTTATATTCATACAATCAACCAAGAAAATTAACAAAGGCGCAAGATCCATAGGGTAGAAAAGTATCCATCTTTAAGATCTCTTAGAACATAAAATGGGAAAAATAATGCGATTTTGCATTTTTCAATAAAATTGCCAAGAGCAGCCACTAGTTAGTCCATCTCGAGGATTGCTTAGCAGATTTGCAATTGAAACATTTATTGCCTGATCACAAAACTTGCAGAAGAAAAAAAAGTATATACCTCCCAATTCCAGTTCCAAAAAGATTGAACTGTGATGCATTTACTCCACGACCATTTTTTGCAACTTCGCCGAAGTCCCATCCTTCACCATATCTAAATTGAAATGTGTGAGAATGCAAAAGAATCTTCAAATCTCACATTGGAATTAACTTATGCTACAAACACAATGTGCAACAGTAAGGAAATTTGCCCAAACTTACAGGTAGATACTTGAACCATCAACTCCATTCTTTTCCTGTGTTAATATTTGCAGTGCGTTTTTTGCTTTCAACTTCAAGTAACCATACATTTCATGCAGACCAGAAGTTTAGTCTTAGTTTCAAAGTTCATGTACAGTGGGCTCAATAGCCATTGCAACATTAGAATCAGATAATAAATATCGAGTATTGCAATTGAATTATGAAGCTCTATAAGTACTATGCATGAATTTAAGTGAAAATAAAGTCACATACCATAGTACTTGTCATCAAATGCCCCATAAGATCAAACCGAAATCCATCAACCTGGGAAACATCAAGAAATTGTGTTCGACAGATATAAAGGTCAAGTTCTGTCTGCATGCAACAGCATAAAGGAGCTGAAGATTCAATATTTTTGTATGTAAATACCTTATAATCAACTACCCAATGTAAGATATCATCCACAATCATGCGTTCAACCATAAAATGCTCACTGGCAGTGTTATTTACACAGGTACTGTTCTCAATGAAACCATCAATGTTCCTTCTCAAATAGTAACCCGGTACAATCTACCAGAGAGGAAAACGATATCATAAAGAAAAACAGAAACCCTCATCGAGAAAATGTTAACATGAAGAGGTAAGACATGAACAACGAAATCTTTAGTGGTGGGTTGAGCAATATTGAAAGCACAAGAATGCATCAAAAACAATTAGAGGTTGAGACCTTATCAAGAACAGAACTTGGATCAAAAGGTCCACATCCATGTAGATGATTATAGACAACATCCAACACAACACGAAGGCCAATTTGGTTAAGTGCCTGTAATAAATGAATACTTTAAAATGATAGATTGCACTACTTGCAATTGATAACTGAATATATATTGATTTAGACTTGTTAGAAACATAAAAGTTTGTCAACCTGAACCATCTTTCTGAACTCAATTAAACGACAAGGACCATTAGGATCACTAGCATAGCTTCCTTTAGGTACTCCCCACAGAATAGGATTATACCTAAAAAGACACAACAAACATACACAAATGAGTCCATAAAACTCAAAGAACCTAACAGCTTTAAAGAAGACTCCAAAATCAAGAGCTTACCCCCAGTTATACCCATCGCTGTTTTGGATATCTGCAATTAATGATTGTTGTTCAGCTGAATCTGGAGGAAGTTTTTCCAGAAGTTCGATATCTGTAACATGTCTTATGTAGACAGTGAGTGCTAAACACATCAAATGCTACAAGGACTCCTTTAATCATCTCAAATAGAATTAAGAAACACCAATCATTTGTGATCATATATTGATAGGACCCAAGTACACATTCTTGACTCTAGAAGAAAGAACAAAAGCCAGGAGAATGCATCACATTTGGTGGAAGCAGGTTGTTGTTAGTTAATGACAGGAACATAGTTTGCTAACAACAAATGATTCGACGCGAATGAAAGAAATGCACGCCTCTAATGGCAGGAACATTGTTCACTGGTAATTGCTCCAAATCAATGTTTTACCTTTGAAAAATTCTTAAGGGCTAATGCACTCCAATGGGAGGGTGCAACAACTGATCTCAAGAACTTTCAACAACTTTCTGTCTGTCTTCCAAAATGTAACCTACATCTCTCAACTACAAATTCTTTTTTTGTAAGAAACTAACAAATTCTCAATGAAGAGATTTCATACTCTAAACATTGAATTATGAAGCAGGCTACCAGGTTCAGATGGGCAAACAATAAACCACGATAGCCAAAACAGTCCTTTTCAGTTTTGGATATAAATTTAAACGTCACAAAAGGCAAAATTGAAACATCACAAAAGGCAAACCAAAGACATACACTTACCGAGAGACTTCCACTTTGACTTGTCGTCATCGACACCACCAAATTGGAATGTTGGAAGTAGATGAACATGACTAATACCAGCATTTGATAGCTTCTTTAAGTGAGTGATACCATCAGAATCCTTCAAGTGGCATATGCTTATTGTTAAGTACTATTATATTTGATCCTACGAGATCAGCTTCTTATTCCAATATCCAGATATCCAATCAATGTATAATGTATGTGGATAAAAGATAATAGAGAGGGATCCTACAACTCTCAGCTTCCCAGCCGAACATCCAATTCATGCATGATTTGTATGGGATAAAACATGCATGGCATCTAAGGGAGGCAGGGTGGAAAAGTTCTTTCTTTTTTTTTTTTTCTTTTTTCCTTTTTTGGTTAAAGGAGTGAAGGAAACGAAAATGGTTAAGTTAAACAAATGCAACTCAACTAATAACCGATTCACACAATGGATGAAAAGTAGTACCTGCAAAGTAAAACCCATGTAACCACCACGCATATCAGGATGCACACTTTGATCACTTATACTGCAATACGAATACAGAACAAGTAAAGGATTTAATTGAAAAGAGTACAGCACAATGCAGAAAAAGATAATTAAATCAAAAAAGGCAATGCACACACCACCATTAGTGTACAGTAAAATCCTAGATTCTCTACTTCCTTTTCTTGGAATTAACTTTTTTATGAATAAATTGGCAGAAAACTATTGTTACAAATGCCACATCTAACAAAAGAATCACATCAGCTTCTTTGATCTTTTGACTTTTTTATTCTTTTTCTACCCCTGTTTAAGACGGAGTAATATCAGACGGTTTACCTTGTCAGTTTTTAGCTTCATTAAAGTAGTAAAGAAAAACAAGATGAAAGTTGAAGGTCATTTCTCTCCTACATACAATAATAGGGGAAACTTTAGCATATAATTTTCAACATTTCCTACAATGTTTTAACTGAAAAGTTGGAGTTGAATCCTGAAAAAGCTCTAAACACAGTAAGAATCAAGTACTTACCTAAAATCCCTTACATGCAACTCATAAATACTGATGTCAGAAAAGGAATGCAATGGGGGTTTCTCATCAGCCAATTTATCCCATCCCTCAGGTTTTAAGTCATCAGAGCCAAGATCAACAAACAATGTCCGCCTTCCATCTGATGAAACCCTGCTCTATCAATAAAAAGAGTGGAGTATATGTAAAGCCTGCACTTTCTTGCAAGTTGCAAGTGTCCGCATACATGTCAAAAACAATGCTGCATAGTTTTTTGGGTCAGAGCTTTGTACCCTCTAGAATAAGGATCGGTACTAAAGCATTTTTCAACTTTCAAGGTGCTAGGATGGTAGACCGTTACTTCATATTCATAATAACAGCCTTCCCAACTTTTTGGTCCTTTAGTTCTCCAAACGCCATCAAGCTCCTCAAGCTGAATAACTTCAAATGGCCTCCCACCTACTGGTTCCTTGTAAATTTGGGCCTGTACAGCCTGCTTGATGCAGCAGAAACAGAAGAGAATGAATAGGTTAAAATTCAAAAGAAGCACAACATATCGTGGTAATAGACTAAATCGGTATGCCATTAGCTAAAGTAGGAAATTGGTATACCTGGGCAGTTGGAGCCCAAAGGTAAAGTGATACAGCCTCTTTCGAGTAAACTGCACCTAGAGGACCTTCGTAGGAGAACAAGTCATCCAGAACACCAGGTAGCTGCAGGCAAGTAATATTGTTGCATTGACCATAGGCTGTACACCATAAAGAAAGGCATGATATATCAATGGGAAAAAACATTGGTCTCCGAATAACTACAACATCCATGTTTTTAAAGACCATGTCCTTTAATATTATTGTGGGGAGGAAGACATGCAACAATGTTACTGCACAAATAGCCATTATCACAATACATCACTTTTGCAGAAGCACCAAACATTTGATCAAGAATAACTGCCACAGTCCTACAATCAAAATCACGCCCGTCTTTCCCTTTTTCCTTTTTCTTTGTTTCTTTTATCTCTATCTTTTTCTTTTAACTCTAAAGATTGAGGAGGTGGACGAGAGAGGGTGGTAGCTTAGGTCTAAACTTTAATATATATGCTATTTAGATAAAATAGAATGTTATAAGATAACAAATAGAGAAACAAAGCAAAGAATATCATTACAGTTGAAAGTGGCTACTGCAAGTTGACATTTGAGGAGTGGTTCAACGGCCGATCCAAGAGGGACTGTGAAAGGGCAGTAGTTTTGGATATGAGGGAACTTTTTTATCACCTAACAACACAAAGATATTTATCAGTTTTTAATAACGTCTAAGAAGATTTCACATCTCTACGATTTGTTTAAAAATGTTAGTGGTTCCTGAGTACATTTTCTGGAAGCGGGCCACGGTCTTTTTCCAGCTTAATTTTCACGTCGTAACCTGTTGATAAGAAAATCCATCAGCATAATTTATCTCAACACAGTTACGGTCTACCGATTACAATCATACCTTCGACTACACCATCGTTAACACGCAGAGTAGCCATTTTACTGCCAAACAGATAGCACGAACCGCTTCCAACTTCCACATTCCACGCTATCACATATCTGCTCACCCAAAAAGCTCTCGCGTACAACAAGCTATCTTCCAACTATTCACAGTTTAAGACAAAACGAAATGTCCGTCGATCAGCACATAGCCAATCGCAACGATGTAGCATAGCAATTCAAGTAGTTCAAGACCTTGGGAATCAATTCATTTTCTGTAAATTACTATTTGATTTGTAATTTTCCCTCTAAACAAAGTAATTCAAGAGAGCTCGTTTGTGATCCAAATTATAATAACCTCAACCAAACTAAATTTCCTTTCTCCCTTCGTTGCTATCGGAACTGAAGACGATCCTATTCCCACATTACGACAGAGACTACCACAGACCAACAGAACTAACCTCCACTACCAAATCATGACAAGTTAAAAACGAAAATAGAACCTGAGAAGCTGGAGTAGATTCCTCGAGCGACATTGATGCGGAAGAGGAGCAGTAAAGCGGTCCACAGCGAGAGTGACCATGGGGATAATGAGACAGAGAAGTTGCAGCTACGGAGAAGACACCGCCGACCGCAGGAGATGACGAAACCGCGGCGATACGGGGAGGAAGGTGGTGAGAGAAGGAAGTTGCAGGATTTGATGGCGGTAAGAGATGGAGGGAAGAGGAAAACAGAAACGACATTTTCTTTTTCACCGAGATTCTAACTCGCACAGTTGCAAGGGGAAAATAAGCTTTTTATTGGATATTTCCTCCTGAAACGTCACGTCGTAACTATTTTTAGTTTATGGGAAATTATTTTATATTTGTCTATATTTCCAGCTGGTAGCGTGATGTCATAATTATTTTTATTTTATTTTATTTTTTAAAATCTATAAATTAGAGAGATTCATTTAGTTCGAGACAGACCCGAAAAAAATGGGAAATCTAGTTTAAACAGAGAATTAAAAGGAGCAGATTTCCTTAAATAAACCAAATTTTTTTTAGATATAAATATATATATATATATATATATATATATATATATTTATATTAAAGTACTATTATAATTATTTTTATTAAAGAAAAATATGATATTTAAACCTTACTATGTTTATATTAAACTTTAGTTAATATTTTAATTTTTATGTTTTAATATACTTCCATATGAAAATATGCGTCTTCTTGCGACATTTAATGAATATAAGTAAAGGACAAAACGATGTCGTTTTTGTTGTTTTTCTTTAAATGGTAAATTTGGATAAAAATAAATTAAAAAATAAAGTTTTTTTTTTTAAGAAATATTTATGAAAAAAAATCGGTAATATTGAAAATATTGAAAACAATATAAGTATTTTTATATAAATAACAAAGTTTTTTTTTTTAATTTATGGTTTTCAAAAGGCATAAATAACAAATTATGTAATAAAGTAGAACAATAGCTATAAATATTATAACGTATATTTATTTATTTTTGAAGAAAAATAAGAATAAATAATTATTGAATAGCTCAAAATACAGATTTTTATGTGTTAATGTTTATTTAAATATCCCTTAAAAATATCATGCTTCAATAATTAAATATATAGCCATTCACATCTCTCAATTATTATCTCAATTATTATTAAAAAAAAATTAATAAAGCAAAGCCCATTATTGGCCCAATTATAGTCATGAAGTGGCCCATACAAATAATCCACCCATTTTCTTCACTAGCATCGAGTAGTTCAAGTGGCTCCTTCATATGTCCATTCCAAACCTAAAAAAGTTTTATTGGGACGTATATATATAGATATTTATTTATTTATTAAATGAGTTATCGAAAATTAACGTGCACCTTGTTGATAGATAATATATGTCATCTTTTTTTTAATTATTTCTTAGTCGTCCTATCCTCAAGATCACTCTCATTCAGATATGGTCTCGGTTCATTTATATATCCCTCGTTTCTCGGGTGTCACGTGCCCACCAACTTCTACCTCTGTTTAAAGGGGATCCCCTCAATTCTTTAAAATGCCTCTGCTAGAGAAAATTTTTCACACCCTTTAGGGCCCAATGTCCTTGCTGGCACTCGTTCATTTTCTCTAATTGATGTGGGACCACCACCAAATCCACCCCCCTTCATGGCTGACTCTGCTAGGGAAAGGTTTTCACTCCACACCCTTTTAAGGCCAGTGTTCTTGCTGGCACTCGTTCATTTTCTCTAATCGATGTGGGATTACCACCAAATCCACCCCTCTTCAGGGCCCAGCATCCTTACTGACACACCGCCTCGTGTCTCTACCTCCTTTCAGGGAAGAGCCTCCTCACTGACACATTGCCCGAAACCGAACTCTAATACCATTTGTAATGCCCCGACCCACCGTTAACAGATATTATCCTCTTTGGGCTTTCTCTTTCATCTTTTCCCTCGAGACTTTAAAACGCGTCTACTAGAGAAAGATTTTCACACCGTGTTTCGTTCTCCTTCCCAACCAATGTGAAATTATCGGATCTCACAATAAAATATGTTTGGAAATTTTATTTTTTTTAAAGAAGAATTGATTAAACCAAATTATAAGCATTGGTTTGCTTTGCTTATAAAAAACCCCATGGTTTTGTCTCTTATCTCCTAACCCATACGAAAAGTACAAATACTTTGACAACCAAACTTGATTTTTCTTTTTTCTGTATACTAAAAAACAAATTATTTAATTCTTTTTTCAAAGAAATAATGTATTTAATAAAATATTATATGCTTTTTTTTTATTAGTCAAAAAGATTCTCTTAGCCGACGTCAAATTTCCATTTAACTCTTCTTTTACTTTGCTTTGTGCGTATTTTGACAAATATTTGACGTGCCCCGACGTGGACTGCGGCTGCGCCGCCCTCTCCTATTCTGCCGGCGGGTTCCCGCCTCCACCACCCACAAGTCATAAACATTTGAAAAGTAAACCAACATTTAATTTTAATTTTAAATTTTAAAAAATGTTATAATATATATATATATATATATATATATATATTACATTAATCCAATTAAATTGGTACAAATTTTGATATTTTTAAAATTAGTGAATTTACTAAAAAAAATTATTATTTTTTTGTTTCTAAAATGAGTGTAAATTCAATCCAGGGTAGAAAATGCAACATTTACATGAGATGTCACATCAGTTAGGGAGAAAAACAAAGCAGTGTAGCATGGGTTTGAGCAGTTACAAATGGTATCAGAGCCCGACACCGGGCGTGTACCAACAAGGACGTTGGGCCCCAAAGAGGGTGGGTTGTGAGATCCCACATCGATTAGAGAGGGGAACGAAACATTTATTATAAGGATGTGGAAGCTTCTCCTTAGAAAACGCGTTTTAAAACCGTGAGGTTGACGACAATACATAACGAACCAAAACAGACTAGCAGTGGTTTTGAATTGTTACAAATTGTATTAGAGTCTGACATCAGGCAATGTGCCAGTGAGAACAATGGGCCCCAAAAAGGGTGGATTGGGAGATCCCACATCGACTAGAGAGGAGAACGAAACATTCCTTATAAGGGTGCGCAAACCCTCCCCAAAAGACGCATTTTAAAACCATGAAGCTAACGACGATACGTAACGGGTCAAAGCGGACAATATCTATTAGCAGTGTACTTAACCTGTTACAATTTATCTAAGTAAAGTTTCGGTATATAACTCGACGAGTCCGTCACTGACAAATTATCAATAGTTTGATGTCAATTTTTTAATACAATAAAATATTAATCGAGTACATGAATTTTAACCTTCAAACTCAAGGAAATGCGTACGTGCTAATTACTACCGACAAATTTAGGTCAGTTTTTTCTCTCGTGTAATTAGACGTTAATGTTACAAATCATTATTATTTAATGAGACTCTAAGTTATATAGGTTGGTGATTAATGCAAATAAACAATAATTAATTTGTTAATGGGATATATGATTTTAATTAGGTGTATTGTTTGTGGTGTTTGTTATAATTTTTGGAGCCAATTATTTTCTCATATGATCATATATTGTTGAAACCCCACCATTAATTATGATAATTAATTTATATATATTATATTCCTCTTCTTCAAAGCAATAATGTTAGATTAATTAAAATATATATATATATATATATATATATATAACAATCAACAATCAATAAGGTGGGTAATGAATGACAAATTGATATTAAAATCCATGGATATAAATATAGTTTAAAATTAAATATATATCGAACATTTTGATGTGATTAGGGGTATTCATATGACCCGAGAATTTGATCAATCTGGATTAGGGTAGGTTGAACTGAATTTTTTTTTTTTTTTTAGTTGAATTTTTGAAAAATTGAAAATCCGGCTCGTTTCGTGGATTGACGTTTTTTCATCGGGTTGAAAAATAGAGTTACGACTCAATTCTTCCTTATCCTACTTTTAAGATTATTACGAGAATTAAAAATATTTGATGTTTGTAATCGATGTTAGTGATGCGTTGTGACTTGTTAATGTTTGATATTTGAGATTTATGAGATAGTAACAGTCTAAGGTCATCGTTACATCGTTAGCAGATCCGCTTTGGTCTGCTACGTATTGTCATCAGCCTCACGTTTTTAAAATGCGTCTACTAGGGAGAGATTTCCACGCCCTTTTAAGGAATGATTCGTTTCCTTTCCCAATCGATGTGGGATCTTACAATTCACTCTCTTTAGAGACCTAACATGTCTGTTGGCACATTGTCCCGTGTTTGGCTCTTGTATCATTTATTGTGAGATTCCCCATGTGACTCTAATATGCTATTTTTACGAAACTACCCCATATCAAGAACGAGGATGATTTATTTTTTATAAATGAAAAACAAATTTCGATATGAAATTTGAATTTTTGCTCCTATCCCTAATTTGATCAGCAAAAGAAATCGAGATAGTATTTTTACTAAACTACCCTCTTACTCGAATGAGGAATAATTCCTATTACTTTGTTTCATGATTTACTTTTGACAAGTGAAAAACTAATTTTGATCTGAAATTCGAATCGTTGCTTCTAACCCTAATTTGAACTACAAACGAAAATAAGATGCTAATTTTACGAATCTACCCCCATATAAAGAACGATGAATAATTTCTACTACTTTATTACACGATTTACTTTTGACAAATGAAAAAAAAAAATTGACCCGAAATTTAAATTGTTGCTTCTAACCCTAATTTGAACCACGAACGAAAATAAGATGCTATTTTTACGAAACTACCCCTATATAAAGAACGATGAATAATCCCTACCACTTTATTACACGATTTATTTTTGATAAATGAAAAAAAATTGACCCGAAATTTAAATCGTTACTTCTAATCCTAATTTGAACCACGAACGAAAATAAGATGTTATTTTTACGAATCTACCCCTGTATAAAGAACAATGAATAATTCCTACCACTTTATTACACGATTTACTTTCGATAATTGAAAAAAAAAATTGACCCAAAATTTAAATCGTTGCTCCTAACCCTAATTTGAACCACGAACGAAAATAAGATGCTAATTTTACGAAACTACCCCCGTATAAAGAACGATGAATAATTCCTACTACTTTATTACACGATTTACTTTTGATAAATGAAAAAAAAAATTGACCCGAAATTTAAACCGTTGCTACTAACCCTATTTGAACCACGAACGAAAATAAGATGCTAATTTTACAAATATACCCCCATATAAAGAACGATAAATAATTCCTACTATTTTATT